ATATTAGGTAGTTTTGAAATTTTTGTATCAACCGTTGTTCTGAATTTCTGCCAATCAGCGTTGCATAATCTGTATTTAAGGCGCGCTTTACGTCTAAAATTGAATGTAGTTACCTTATCTGTCGAACTTATTACTAAAGGGAAATGGTCACTGCCACATGTTGAATCAAGGGAATTCCAATTCATTTTTGAAGTTAATCCAGGAGTGCAAATAGATAGGTCAACAGCACTGACATTTTCATTAGGTTTTGTACGACGAGTCGGAACTCCTGTATTTAATAAACATAAATTATGTGAGTCTATGATTTCTAATAATTGTTGTCCAGCAGTGTCAGTTATTCCACTACCCCAACTGCGGTGATGTGAATTAAAATCGCCTAATAAGAGAAAAGGATTAGTCAGAGATGTTATTAATTGGTCGATATCATTATTCAGAATGTTAGATGTTGCATCTGGTATATATATTGATACAATAGAAGTTCTATTTTGTAATGTAATCCCTATAACATTGAAGTTATTTATATTATGCGTTGGCAAGGTCAGCCGCACGAAGGAAATTGTATTCTTAACAAGTATGGCTACTCCTGCATAACCATCTGGTCTATCTTCTCTGAGGCAGGTAAAACCAGGGATTCCAAATAGAATGCCTGGCTTTAACCACGTCTCAGATAATACTACCACCGAGCAATTGTATTTGTTAATTAAATGAATTAAGTCACTTTTTTTTGACGTTGCACTTCTACAATTCCACTGTAGGATTTTTAGATCCATTATTGGCGATTAGGTTAGATATTATTTCAACTATAATGGCAACGTTGGACGGTTTTAATGTATGTTTTGTTAACAAAGTATTAAGTAATGAAATAACTGTTTCAATTACATTTTTATTTTCAAATTCTTCATTGGCACTTGGTTTAAATGCAGAACCATTTGGTGAGGTACAAGGCATATCATAATCACTTATAATCTTATTATGTGTTAGCTGGTCATATCCTTTCGATAAAATTATCGGTGAACGTGGTTTTAAGTAAACGGTCTTTTTATATGAGGTATTATGTGATTTTTGATCCTGTCTCTTATAATTATTTATGTCAGATGTTTGATTAGTTGCTACAACATCAGCATATGGTTTTGATATTGGTGGGTGGAGTTTGCTAGCTTCCATGTAAGAGATACTGCTTTGGGACATAGTCAATTTAATGTCTTTTTGACGTTGGAATTCCGGACAAATTTTATTCGTAGCGTAATGAAACCCTGAACACATTATACACAGTGCACAACTTTCCTCTACTGAACAGTTTTCACTTCTATGATCCTGAGCACATTTGAAACATCTCGGAGGTGACCGACAAACAAGTTTTGTGTGTCCATATCGACAACAATTAAAGCATTGGATTGTTGGGTAGGTATAGAGTTCAACTGGTAGTGCATTGTAACAAATGTATACTCTTTTAGGAAGAACTTGTCCATCGAAGGTAAATACGACAGACTGAGTTGGTTTCCAAATTACTGACCCATCAACGTGAACTTTATAATTAATTCTCCGTAATTTTATAATTTCTCCACAACCCATTGGAATAGAGACATTGCTTTTAATTTCTTCTGGTGTCCAGTCGGCTGGTACACCACGTACAATACCAAGTTTAGTAACATTAAATATGGGAATAAATGCACGAAGTTTAAAATCGATCAAATTTTTATTATTTAAAAAGTCATTGGCATCTTTAATTGTGGAAAACGATACAGTACATCTATTACGACCTATCCTTTTAACACTTCCTGTCACAATATTTTGAAAATTATTTTTCTTTAAAAAGTTGCCAAAAGTAATAGGATGAAGTGTGGAGCCATCACCCGGAGAGTCTTGAATTCTTTGTACATGAACAATATACGGGGATAAATCTGTAGAAATATAATGTTTACGACCTACCTCTGTACGTGGGAATAAAGTAGAATCAGCTTTTGAGTCATCTCTCTGTTTGTTATTGCTAATTATGGGAGTTATTGGTTCTTTAAATTCTACATTTTTATCTAATAAAGTACATTGACAATCTATTTCGCTAGAAGTACCTGTACCTATATGTGAGCTTCTCTTTCTCTTTTTATTACAATTTTTACAACGCTTATGGTATCTGGACCTTTTACGCGTCCAACCATCCGCACTGCTTATAGAGGCGTCAGTGTCCATTTCGTTATTAGAATTATTATTTACAGTTACATTATATCCAACAGGGGGACCCAGGTCAGGACCTAAGTCCCCCGCGGTTAGATCCGGTGGTTTATTCATAAAAATGTATCCATACAATATATATTATAAAAACTTACCGAAAATATACAGGATAAATATACAAAAATACAATTACAATACACTAATTATAGAAATATAACACTACACAACTTATCTGATTCGTTTAAATTTACAAAACAAAATTTTTAAAATTTTGCAAGAAAAATTTCGTCCGCCTCATAAAATATCGATATATCGAAATATCGATATTGTTATTTAGAAATATCGATATTTATTACTAATACTTTTTTGGACGATATATCGATAGTTTGATATTGAAATCTAGATATCGACACTCGATATTTTTTTTTTAAATAAATTTTTATTTTTTCTCGGCAATTATTTCAACTACAACAATATGTAGCTACTAATCTACTAATTGTTGTTGTTAGTTATCACTTATCTCTGTCACCTTTAGCATCTCTACTTCTACTTCGTTTATTCTTATCTTTTTCTGAGAATCGTATCGATATCTGATTTCGATTTTCAATATCGAATTTTAAAACTATATATTTTAATATCTGATATTGTTAGTACGAGTATGTATTTTAAAATCTGATTCGTTCGATATCTACTCTTTTATAGTTTGTTAACATATCAATTTATTATTTGAATTTCAACCTTATCGTTACTGCATAAAAGTCACACAACACGCACTTGTGATTTTGGTACAAATTATTGCTATCTTGCTCTAACAACTGTATTCCTCTCGCTCGCTGCGGTTAAGATATATCTGCTTTGCGATGAATATCTAATATTCTCTATACTAGATTCCTCGCTTGCGCTCTGTCGTACGCATACCATACAGCCGATGCGGAGTGAGTAAGCGATATGCTGCGTATCTAGATTCTGTAATACGCACATTTGGAAACAAGCCAGTAAGCGGTTTTTAGATATTCTACCAATATATAGTTTTTGTATCTATATACGGTTTGTATCGGCCACTTCTAATATGCGTATAGTCTATGGTCTGTGATTAGCAAACAGGGCTAAAACTATATAATCTGTGACAAGAGCAACGAGCGAAGTTAACTCTTACTGAGAAATATAGGTACACATAATTGTTTTATTAAAATTGAACAATAATTACTAATAAATTATTTTTGAAATGACTTATGATTGTTTTTTTTAAAACAAAGCCGCTAAATTAAATAAAAAAAAAATATCGATATATTGAAATATCGATATTTTTTTTCGATATATCAAACACCGATATTGATATATTTAAAAATATCGATATATCAGGTATATAAATAAATATTACAACTTGTCTAGTTAGTGTTGCGCACACGCTAATAGTACTTAGCGCTTAATACTGGTAACTATGACACGCTAAGGCGTTAAAAATTTAGCGTTTAACGCGCAACGATCTTTAACGCCCGCGACCGAGCGGACAGTATTCGAGTGAGCACGAACGTATTCTTGCAGCACGTTTGATACAAACGCGAGCCAAAGGCGATCTTGCATCAACGAGAAGGTGCGAATGTTAACGGACGTGTTTACGATTTATTCTCGTATCAAGTTAAATATGATCGTGTATTATTAACATATCGTATACAGGAGGCATGTAAGCGCGACCGCAATTCTCACCTACGTAACATCTATGCAGAAGTCGAAGTTCATGCCAATAACTAAGAAACTAGAGTTTTATATCGAAAAATAAAATCGATTACCAAAGATCTATCCAGAAAAACATGGGCAATGAGGAAGTATTTAAAAAAAAATGAAAGCACTAAAAAAGCACCTCGTGTACTGATGTTTTTTTTAATACTTCCTCATTCTGTAACATATTGAATAGTATAGGAATATCCACACTTGCACGAAAATAAACGCATTTACTAATCTACAGATTTTTGCGATTGCTCAGTCGTGCATCAGCATTAGCTATGAGGAAGTATTAAAAAAAAGAAACATTAGTTCCCGAAACCAAACTAGATGTCGCTACAGTACGTTCTTGATTTCTCCATGACAACCCTTCCGGATTTCTGTCATATTAAAAGTAAATTAGTTTTCAAAACTCAATAAACAACGCATATTCTATTTGTACTTTTTCGTATTTGCATTGATATCTAAGTTTCAAACTTTCTAATTTCAGTTTTTTAATATTTTAGTTAAAAGGAACGGAAATGACTGTCTTTGGTCCATTCGTTTCCTGCAAAAATCAATTTTTGCTAGAGTCGCCATCTAGTAGAGGTGCTTTTTTAGTGCTTTTGTTTTTTTTTTACTACTTCCTAATTCCTCATTGAAATTCAACAAACGTGACTTTTTCTTTCAATTAAATATCAACCGGAAGCTACATAAAACTAACACAAATTGCGCGGACTTTTAATCGCAATTCGGGCCGTGCGTGCCATATTACAAAAATAAAAATTAAAATTCGCAATTGGAGCAAGGTGTTATGTATGTCATTGCGAAATAAAATTCGCACGGTTAAAAGTCGCGATGCAGATAGTCTATTTGGATGCGAAAATTTAACATATAGGAGATACTACGTATCTCCTGGTATCTCCTTCTTGGTCTGTCATCTGTGAATCAATGTCACTCACTATTCTGTTGTGGAAAATAAACAGTCAATTTTATTTTACTGTTTTCCACTCCAGTCAATGGAGATAATCTAATACGACAGTGTCATTTGATATCTGTAATATGAAGTAATTTCTGATTTTCTGTTAAGTTTTGCACGAAGAAGTGCTTTAGTGAATAAATATAGAAAAATGTCTTCGATCAAAGAAAAAAATGATCTGCCGGGATTAGAGGCTGAAGAGTCTCTGCTGTATTCAGCTAGACATGGCGAGCTATCGGTTGTAAAAGCCCTTTTAGAAGCCAAAGCAGATACCAAAATAACATTAGATATTAACTGCAAAGGTAATGTAATTTTATTATTACTTTTCTGTGAAAGTTATAAACTAAGAACTCGTACCATGACTTGGGGGCCTATTTTGAATTTTTGAATTTTTATTATGTGTTATTTTGTTAAAATTATATCCGTGAACGTTATCTGTGTGTCAGTGTCAGGTCCTCTTTATTTGGCCCTCTTAGATGAAACATTGAATAAGACTAAAGACAGAGAATAAGAAAAATAAATGGAGTTTTTAAAAAGTTCTGACGCTGCATTATGTACAGCTCCTTTGTCCTTGAATATAACTCATCACAAATATGTACGTTGTGAAGGCTAGATATAACATTGTAGGGAAATATTTAAGTTTTGTTTACTCTTGGTACCAGTATCAACTGTTCAGTTTTGCAATAATGTTTAGTTATTTGTCAGGGAAAACTTTCTGAAAAGTGAGAAGTGTAGATTGAAAGTTTACACAAATTAGATCCAATGACAAAAAGAAATATATATTAATTTTTTTATCAATTCAAAGATTACTGATAATAATAGTACACTACAATTTCTTTAATTAAGGTATATATCACAAAAAAACTTAAATAATTATTTCAGGTAAAAGTAAAAGTAACTTGGGATGGACTCCCCTCCATTTAGCTACATATTTTGGTCATGTGGATGTTGTCAAAGTATTATTAGAAGGAGGTGCAGATGTAGATGAGGTTAATGACACGGGTGATACTGCATTACATAAGGCTTCTTTCATTGGAAATGAGGTAATAAAATTATTATTTTATATCTTTCTAATATAACAATATCATAAATAAGATTTAGTTCCATCTTGGGTTCTTATGTTTCTCTTAGTAATTAAGTAATCTCCTTATAGAATTTAGTGATTCTTTTGCTGCAACACAAAGCAGATGTCAACATAATGAATGGAGAAGGTCGCACAGCATGTGATGTATGCAAAACACGTGATGTGCAACGCTTAATAGAAGCAGCTCAGCGTGCAGAAAGACACGAGAGAGAGCAGAAACTACTCACAGCAGCTAAGGAGGGTCGAATAGATGATATACAGGAGTTGGTAAGTATTGAAAATCATATAAACTAGGTTACTTGAAAGATTAGTTACTTATAAGGGATACACACATAGAAGGGTAGCTGGGAAATACATGAATAAGAAAATCAGTAAGTAAAAACCTACACCCCCCAATACTAAGATTACACTGGCCATAATTAAAATGCATAATGTAGGGTAATTCATTGAATTGTGAATTTGTGCAAGTAGCACTTGAAGATTTGTGTAGATACGAAGTGTGCTTTTAATATACTTTTGAAATTTCAAAAACTTCTTTCTTTGTTTATATGCTAGGAATATTTTATGTGCTAGGAGTTGGTGTACCTAGGAGGCTTAATATAATGATTCATTCAGTTATTTGTCAGTAACTATATTTGACTATCTATTAATTAATTTATCAGCTGGAATTCCAGTTAAAGCACCTTTAAACAAATAGGAGTTACCAGCAATGAGGAACATGTATTTTAATTAGGAGAATAAACTTAAATTAAAAATTAATACCTACTTTACCATATGTTTTTGGGCATAAAAAAGTAATTCATTGCATCAAAACAAAAGCAAATGTATTGATGCTGAAAATTAGCTTGAATATAACATTTTCAGCTTAGCAGTTCGAATCCGCCGAATATAAATTGCGTTGATGCTCAAGGCAACACATGCTTACATTGCGCGGCATATAGAGGGCATGCACGTCTCGCCATCTTGCTGCTGCAAAATGGTGTCGATACTACGCTACGGAATAATAGTGGTAAGGCAAAATAAATTAGGTATGATAGTTTCACGTAGCAATTAATTTCGAAAAAAATTTGATATTATGAAAAAAGAGTTAATTAAAAGAAAGTCAATTAAAAGAGTCTTTATGTGATTTTGTTTTTTAATAAGAAAATCACCCTCTCATCGACTTGTACAAAATATTTATGGTGTAAATCTGGTAATCTATATATTAATGCGTGAAGTAAAAAGTTTGGCCCCTTTTTTACGAAAATTGTGAGGATGGAGGAGTATGAAATTTGGCACACTTAGAGTTTATATGTAGGAGAAGTGAAAACGGCTAATATTTTTCAATATTAATACTTATGAAGTACTTTAAATCGATAAATAAAACATTGCACACACTCCTATGCATTTGTCACACACAAACAAGTATTTTCTCTGTGGTCAAATTGTTTCTTTTGACATAGAGTTTGTTTGTTTCTTTTGAATATGGGCGTCGCATGGTTTGTGCATTTAGCCAGTGTCAAGTTTTATATGTTTACCATAGATATCTATTTATATGATTGTGATGTTTACTGTAGTCTTACTGGATATCAAAAGATTTTCGATTTCAGTGATAACTTCTAATTGAAATTTATTATGGTCGAATTTCGACCACTGGGCGACCACTAGTTTACATTAACATATGAATAAAGTAGACAGTTTTAATCTTTTAAGAACCGCTAAAAATACTCTAAAGCAGAGTTATACGAGTAAAAAATATGCACCAGGATGTGTTAGAGTTATTTCAGCAGTATATGCTTAATGTCCAGTAGTATGGAGTCATTTTCCTGATTTATTTATTTTGGTTCCAGGATGGATTTGACTTAGTAATTGCTTCTGTTCGAGCCATAAAGTTGTTTTTGAGCACAATGTTACAAGACAGTATAAAAAAATGCACAAAAGAAATACAGGCCTAAAAATAGAAATTAAAACAATACTATTTATCATTACGAATTATCAACAATAGGGAATATTCGTCTTTTCAGAGCCAATGTGACGGAAAATGTATGGGATGTCGTTGTTATAAAAAGTTAAGATTGATGTAAAAACATTAATGTATTATGTCGCAAAATAAACAAAATAATTTAAACTCAATTTAAATGATGTTTAGGATTTTTTTTTTAAACTATATGATTAATAAGAAAGTCTATACTTAAAAAATCGATAGGTTGTTAATCGATTTGGGTAATTAAATAATAATCAATCACTCAAAACCCACATTGATTTAAAATTTGTTACATAGAAAACAAATTTTGTTAATTATTATTGTTATTAAATTTTAGTTTTTCGGTGCCAGGTATTTTTTTACAATTATAAGGATGTAAATAATCATATGAAAAAAAGCAAAAAATGTGCATATTCCCTATTATAAGTTTATTAATATTTTTAAGATATTACGAATGATTTTATGTATTTTATGAATTTTTGATAATTGTAATGAATTTATATTTCAGCTATGATTTTGATTATATTTTGTTTTTATATTTATTGTACTCATATATTTTCATTTTTAATTTTATTTATTTGTATAAACAAATTTTTGATTGTGTATATGAGTGTAAATGCTTGAAATAAATAAAATAAACAAAATTTGAATTCTCCAAGCATTCTTGCAAGGGATCCGGCATGAGATATAGGTGGATTGATTAATAATTATAAACAACTTAATGGCTCTAACAGAAGCAATTACTAAGTCCAATCCATCCTGGTACATCTTGTAAGCAGAATACATCCTATATATGTATAAAAATAATATTAAATCTCTATATATATAAAATTCTCATGTCACAATTTTCGTTCCCGTACTCCTCCAAAACAGCATGACTGATTCTCATGAAATTTTGTGAGCATATTGAGTAGGTCTGACATCAGCCCACAACTATTTTTCATACCCCTAAGCGATAAGGGTTGTCCACCCTTAACGTTTTTTGTCTACACTAGAAATTACTTAGTAATAATTTATATGGCAAAACAACGTTTGCCGGGTCAGCTAGAATATAATATAAAAAAAATCCTTTGTCTAGGCCAACTAGCTATTGATCTGGCCAAAGACAACGAGATGCGTGAGGTGCTCAGTGTTCGGCCAGTGCAGCGGTTGCAGCGAACCGCGGCCAGGTTCGAAGGGCCACTGCTGAAGCGATCCAGATTCTTAGGCTGGAGACCTGTCTGGGTGAGCATTCTTTCTTAATGTTTTTTTTTTACTTCATTCCGCATGAAGTTTTTATTACTTCCTAGTTAATATAAGAGTATTAAACGATATTAAAATACCGTTAGTAATTACTCTATGCCACATGTCCTTTTTAATAAGTAGTTGCAGAGCCTTAAAAATCCAAAAAAACAAAGTCAACAAACAATCAATTCTTTCCCATTTACAATATCAGTATTCTTAGGTGACATGACAATGACAAGCTTGCAATACAACGCTAACAAACTAAAAGCAATATTTTAGAGATTATTCATAGTTATGTCAATAATTAATAAATAATGTATCTCTTGCATTTTGTGCTATCTATACTTTCTATTTTAAAAAGACGTCACGCGGGTGTCATTTAGACAAGATCCTAGCGCATTAGCAATAGGGTATTTTACTCTTGTTTGAAATAATACTTGTAATTAGAATAGAATAGAATAGAAAATTATTTATTGTTAACTTTACACAAAGTTACATTTACAAATTTAAAACATCTTTACAATATAATGTAACAATTGGCGGCCTTACCGCTTAAAGCGATTTCTTCCAGGCAACCATGGGATGGAAAGAGAGATAACAATTTATGAAGACGGGGGTAATTGTTTATTTAGTTAAAAAAAAAACATAAAATAAATATTTAGAAATATTAATACTTTTTATTAAAAAAGCACCTCACTAGATGACGACTCTAGCAAAAGTTGATTTTTGCAGCAAACGAATGGACTAAAGATAGTCATTTACGGTACTTTTAACTAACAATTTAAAAAACTGAAATCTGCAAAGTTCGAAACTTAGATATCAATACAAATACGAAGAAGTACAAATAGAATATGAGTTGTTTATTGAGTTTTGAAAAATTAATTTACTTTTATACATGAAAGAAAACCGGAAGGGTCGTCATCTATACTATAATAAAAACGTAACCGATCGATGTCTGTACATTGAAGATATATGAAAAAAAATGTTATGAGGGACATTTATAAGCGTAATAGAACACAAAACAATGATTTTTAAATTTTTTGTCTGTTTGTCTGTGCGTTTGTGCACGATAATCTCAGAAACGGCTGAACCGATTGAAATGCAGTTTTCACTATTATATTGCGGTATTCTTCCGTTAACATTTAGTGTGAGATTTATTTCAATCGGTTCACAAATAAAAAAGTTATGTCAATTTGAAGTGACGTGGTCGCCAAAATTGCCATGTAATATAAACTGTTTTATTAAATTTTCGTCTTTGATATATTGATCATCATCATTAACTCTTTGACAGTCAAACTGAAGGGCCTCAGGCCTTTGTTTAATAATTTTTGGTCACCCATCCCATGAACAACTTTTGCGAAAATTGCTTAGCAATATCGATCGTGCGCAGTGGCACTTATCCGTAGCGCTACCTAGCTACGAATTAATATTGTCTATAAAATGATAATTTGTATGATGAAAAATAAAAATAAAAAATCCAAAATTTTTACATCTCCAAAGTAAGTTGACCTCATTTATAAATGGGCATTGATATTAAATAGGGTTCAGGTTATAATGGAGGTGTGGTATACGATCACGCGAGTAGGAGAACAAGCGAAAAGAGCCTTCCGATGATGCAATTAAGCATCGAGTAATTTACAGTGAACGCATATTTTTATCAGATTAGGTTCACGTCGTCGTCGAGGCTACCGGAGGTGGTTGGCAGCCCCCGCATTGCACGGTTTCGTCTGTCTGAAAGAGACACTCGATAGGGGACCAATGTCAATACTTGAGTGTTCTGGTGACGCGGCCATAGCTTGCCGGGTTTCATCTCCCATAAGACGGTGTCATCATCATCATCACGTCCCCACTGCAGGGCCTCAGGCCTTCCTTATGGATGGTTAAGAAGGATGGGTAATGACCCTCCACGCTGGCCCAATGCGGATTGGAGGGTATTAACGACTGCAAATGCAGCCGGGACCAACGGCTTAACGTGCCTTCCGAAGCACGGAGTAGCTCGAGATAATAATTTTTTGGTCACCCATTCCGTGACCGGCCCTTGCGAATGTTGCTTAACGACAACGATCGCGGGCCACGGCGCTTATCCACTACGCCACCAAGGGCAGTTCACTATCGGGTTCACGGAGGAGAATCCTACTCACCCCCTGTTGCTTGCCACGTAGCAGAAACAATGTCAGAAGCTTTTCCACGACGTTAAAAAAGTTATATTCACGTCAACTGAAGTTAGGAAGGTAAAGACAACTCGATTGATATATTTTTTTTTTAATTATAATTTTTTATGTAATAATAATACTACTTTTGTTTTTTTTTAACATACAAATTTGCTGTAGATACGTACTTCGAAGTTAGTATTTTCAGTCTTCGCCGGAAACAATGGTTTATTCATTTGTCACAACACATATAATATTACGCGAGTCTGAGGATCGGCTAAGAGTAGCTTGGTGGTGTAGTGAATAAACGCCATGGCTCGCGATTGTAGTTGTTAAGCAACTTTCACAAAGGTCGGTCACAGGAAGGGTGACCAAAAAATATTATCTCAAGCAACTCCAAGCTTTGTAAGGCACGTAAAGCGATTGGTCCTGGTTGTATTTGCAGTCGTTGATATCCTCCAATTTGCGTTGGGCCATCATGGAAGGTCGTGACCCATCCTCTTTAATTCTCAGACCAGGCGACAACCAGAGCGCGGGAAACGAGAAAAAAGATAGATATTAAACACGTTATTTTTTTATTGTTTGCGTAATCATTAATTTACGGCAACACACGAGTTAAAATGTCACAGTGACGTCACGCTTTTGTACAAAACTGTGACGTAGCGACACCCCACTCCTCAACTTTAATGCTTAAGTGAAAAAAAAATACGTATCTAATTTTTTTCTACAATCTGATTGACGGACTAAATAGAATAATTTATTTTTTATCCACCCATCATCATCCCGATTGGCCTGCAGGATTTATACCGAACAGGCGGTGTGGTAGTGTACATATAAGTGTCGTGGGTTAGGCGGTGCTGCAGCGCGGCGTGCTGCTGTACTACGGGTCGCGGGCGGAGGCGGCGCGCGGGGCCCGCTGCCGCAGCCGCCACTACCTCGACGGCGCCACCGTCGCCGCGCCCGACGCCGAGCCCGCCGCGCTGCTGCTGCGCCTCAGCGACGGCGACGCGCACCGCCTGTGTGCGCGCGCGCAGGACCTGCCCGCTTGCAGGCAGGTACAGGCGAACACACGTGCACATTTACAGTAAAAAAAAGAAAGAGCTTTACAAAGCTCTTCATACATATTATAGGTAACGATAGGACGGACGTTCTTCGAAAACCCTAAATGAAAAACACTGCGTGAAAAATGTGATTATATAAAATCCGGTTTCACAGAGCCATAGAGAAAGGGCGCCGTACGATGTTTCAGCCACGGTCAGAAAAATCATTGATCCGGATATGGGTAGCTTCGATATTGGTAGTTAAATGAAAAGGCTGATTAGGGTTGAAGAGTATATTTATGGTAAAGACAAAAAACTAACAATAAAAGTAATATAAAAACAGTTAGTTGAGGATTCCGAAAATAATGATATTACATAAGAAAATTACTAGGTGAAAATTACTAAAAACTTAGGTGTTCTATTTTTGAATTATTCGTCTTGCGTTGAGCGCTAATTTTCTACTGATTTTTGTTCAACATTATGAGTATTTTTGTCGTTTGAACTTTACATTCAAGAGACGTTTACATAGTAATTACACATACTAATTTCAAAGATTTTATTTTGAATCCAATGAAGTATGGTTTTCACAATAAAACAACTTTCAGTCGTGGGTAACGGCATTCAACGAGCACATCGCGTACTCGGGCCATTATTTATGGGCGGGTGCGATGCCTGACTCAGCACGCGAAGCCACCGAGGACTTGGAGGATGAGTGTAAACCTTTAGGTGAGTACGTTCATTCTAATGTTTTGTTTGTACCTGTATTATTGAAAAAGTAAAGTCGACAATTTTGAGAAATTGACTTCTTATATTGGTATCGCAAGTTTGTTAGTGTTGAGCCATTTATGGAAGCTTGTTAGTGGGCTACTAATATTTATTAATAATCTGTACCTTATTGGACCCTATTTAATGAATAAATAAACACGTGATGAATTTATAAACAGTATTAGTCCCAAAATAGGTCCTTGAGAAACACTTTATCATTTTTGTTTATTTAGATTTTCTGGGATCTAGTTTGAATGGTTGACTCAAAAAATGTGAGCTTGTTTTAATACTTTTTAAGAGTACAATAGGTTGCTTTATTTGCTTCTAATTAAAATTTCATTTGATATTATTTCATAATCCAATTAATCGAATGCCGTACTAAAAACGAAGAACATTACCCACAAAACTATTTGATTTATATATCATCATCACCTTCCTGCCCTGTTCCCGAGAAGGGAGTCGGCGCAGTGTGTCCTTCTCTTCCACTCGTCTTTGTCAGCCGTCATCTCATCACTCACTCCCTTCACTTTCATATCATGTCTCACACAATCTTCTATCTTTTCTGTGCTCGTCCTCTTGATCTTCATCCATCGACATCTCTCACATTTACATTCATTTCATCCTAGACTAGGCCAAACGCTTTTCTTTCAGTTTTTATGTCACTGGTGCCATTTTCAAACTCCCTTTTACATACTCACTCCTTACTTTATCATCTCCACTACATGTAAGTTTTTTTCATTCATCGTCACGACCCAACATCCTAATTCATATGTAACTATAAATAAAAAAAATACATTAATTTTGTGAGTACTAAATATGTGTAGAAGCCCATTTAAAATGTTTTACAACTTCAATCTAGGCTCCATGCAAGATGCGTTAACAACGGCGACCAACAGTCTCGCATTACTAGAAACGCAACTTCGGGAATGTTCCGCAATACTGGCTGCTTTAGACAAGAGTGTTAATGTCGGCAATTCTCTGCACCACTCCGCTTACATGGTATGTGTTGTTATTTGAACTAAATTGTACTGTACTTGCTGTTTTCCCGCATTCTGCAGCTTCG